CCCCCAGGTTGGGAAGCCTGACGTGGGGCACAGAACCTTCACTCCAGTGGGTGGACTTCTGTGGTATAAGTGTTCTCCAGTTTGCGAGTCACCCACCCAGCAGTTATGGGATTTGATTTTACTGTGATTGCGCCCCTCCTCCCGTCTCATTGTGGCTTCTCCTTTGTCTGTGGATGTGGGGTATCTTTTTTGGTGAGTTCCAGTGTCTTCCTGTCGATGACTGTCCAGCAGCTAGTTGTGATTCTGGTGTTCTCGCAAGAGGGAGTGAGAGCACGTCCTTCTAGGTCGCCATCTTGGTTCCTCCCTTTTCTGGGGTTTTATCTTGTTCCTTTTTTATCTTGTTTCATTTCATTTCAGTGAATTCCTTGTTGAATCAAACAGCGTGATTGATAGAAATGAATTTTAGTTTAAGGTTAAGAGTTTATTCAGACATAATAACACATGTAATCATAATACATTAATTAAATGATTAGATAAAACTGAGTGGAGAATTGGATACTTTCTGAATTGAGTAAAGCAGATTAGATGGTGTGAGCCTGTGTAGTATTTCCAAACCAGGAAATAGTAGTAGTCTTTGGGTATTAGCAGCCTTGCTCAGATTACCAGTGATCCTTGATGGTGTTTGAATTCTGAGAGTGGTAACAACTTGTTGGTATGACTTGACCTCCTGTCACTGAATCTATTCTGAGAGATTAATAGATTAGTAATAGTAGTAGTACTAGACATTAACAAAGTCTGTCTTAATTTAAGACAGACTGTTTTTTTTTAAACCTTATTTGCTAATCTTAGCATTTAGTGACTCTAACAAACAGGGTAGAATAATGTCATTCACCTGTCTTCTAAGGGAAACTGTGCTGAGTTGACTTCAGGTTATGGTACAAACACTGTTGTGTGTGTCAAAGGCCAGTGCTTTAAAATATCTTTATACAGTGATCTTTAATTTTAATGATATGCAAATGTAATTTTTACTTTACTGTGTACTAGAGGTTTAAGTGAACCTGATCATAAGGCAAAGACTCAGATTTCTCAATTTCATAGCTGCCACCTTCCCCCATCTCACTTTAATAGTTTGAAATGAAGTTTTAGAATAGTTTTAGTAAAAAGACAACTTGTTCTTTTTTTTCTTTCAGATAAACTAAAGATTGTTCATCAAGCACATAAATCAAAGGTATGTTTTGTATGTACAGTATCTGGCACACATATAGCAAGTAATCAATTTTGGTTGACTTAGTGAATAAATGAATGAACACGTGTACTTCTAAAATATTTTCCATATAATGGCATTTTTAATTTTGTAGCTACCCTTCTATAGCCTTACTTTTCCATTAAAGGAAAAAAAAAATAGACCTCTAAGTCATATTCCTGTTAGTAGATCCTTTAAAAGAAAGTGTTAATTTAAAAAAAGCAACGTTATATATCAAGCAAATGTGTAACATAAAATAAGCATAAAGCGTGGTAAAATTAATTCCGGTTACATATAAAGGAAGTCAAGTATTATCTGTCAGTCCAATTTCTTTGATTTTCTTAGTTCTGTACCAGAAGAAGAGAGCCAAAAGCAGATGAAAATAATGTGTTTTTTTCTGATTTGACTCTTCCGGTATATAAGAGAAGGCCCCGGACTGTGGCTCTTGGGAACAGACCTATTAGTTCCACAGAGGACATGGCCTTCCCCAAAAGAGGACTGATTAGTTATGTGTTTATAGTATATTTCCATTTCTGTTTTCTTACCTTTTTAGAGCGATGTTTTTATGTTTGCTTCTCATACAGATAGACCAGAGTGATCTTTTTTCTTGAATCTCAGTGACCTTGTGTAGACTTCTCAGTAAAGTAATAACCTTCTCTATTATACAAACTACTCAAGGACAAGGGACTGTATCTTATTCTTCATATCTCCAATACCTAGCACAATGCCTCATTCGTAGGAGTGTTTCCATAACAATTTTTGAAGGAAGTATTTTATGAATTCATTTAATTTCATTCTCTTCTCTAGTCATAGATGCCCTCCATAACCTCAATCAGCTTTGAAATAAACATATAACAAAAGATCGTAAAGAAGTTGGCCTGAGGGTACGCCTGTTGACTATGAATTAGTAACTCAAAAACATTTTTTTTCTGATGGCTTAAAACAACACACATTTATTCTCTTATAGTTCTGGAGGTCAGAAATCTGAAATCAGTTTCCCTGGGCTAAAATCAAGCTGGGTCTTTCCAGTAACTTTATTTTTTTATACCGAGGATTATATATACAAATTTGACAGTATCCATTGTCAAACACTTTAAAATTTAGTGCTTGTGTGTGTCTGGGACTGTGGTGTGGGATCTGTACTTTGTATCGATGCTAGAATTGTATCTGTCCACAGACTCCATCCACTTTCTTTTCTCCAAGCCAGGACCCTTTACAACCTTGTCCCTAAAACGTGGAGAGTAGGAAGCTTGGTCTGATTGTAGAAGGGAAATATATAAAATGAAGTCAAAATGAAACAGTATGCTCTTTGAAAAGGTTGTCATTCTCCATTTAGTGTTGCATTTTTACATCATGGAGCTCATGTTTCCTAAAAGGAATGATAAGTAAATTATTCCTTTATCCTTAATGAAGACCTAGTTCATAATATTCAAATAATCAGTATTATTACATTTTAAAAAAATCAGAAAATTTTCCTGCTATAGTTGGAAATATCTTAGAATTGTTTCTTATATTTAAAACATATGTTCCATTTTGGCATGTTAGAGTTGAAAAATTTGGGCCTATTTTTTAGTTGAACAATGTATTTACTTAAAGAAAGAGTCCCAGAACAAATTAAGTCACTTAGAATGTTTCTGGAATCTGGCTTTATAAACTTTCATCTAAACCATAATCATTCTAGTTAAGTACAGACTATATACCCCAGAGATGGTTCTTCAAATTTCCACTTTAACTTTTGTAAGGAAGAAGTCAATATATTTTCACAGATATGGTTTTAAGACTTAAAAATTTTACCCACACGTCCTCATTTGTGCCTTTTCCAACTACCAGACATTTTTCTCATTTTTCCATGTGCATTCTACTCCTCATTTGCAGGGCCTATAAGCATCACTGGCTCAGACTGTCAGTTTTCCAACCCACCTGTAATTTTAACCTCCTTCCTTAGCCAAAGGGAGAGACTTCCAAATAACTCCTGTATCTCAATGAACTTGTTCACGAAAGGCATTTTCCCCATTTCCCAAATTTTCTAGGTCCAAAGACTTTCTTAATTACAATTACCAGGTATACACAGAAATTTCTTGCCATCACAATAAAAAGGTGACTGGATACCTTCCCACCAGAGCCTCCTGTTTGGATGATGAGCTCAGTGTTTATTGAATGAATCAATAGTTACAAATAATTACCATAATTTTATTTATTTATTTATTTATTTATTTATTTATTTGTGGTACGCCGGCCTCTCACTGCTGTGGCCTGTCCTGTTGCGGAGCACAGGCTCCGGACGCACAGGCCCAGCCGCTCCGCGGCGTGTGGGATCCTCCCGGACCAGGGCACGAACCCGCGTCCCCTTCATTGGCAGGCAGACTCTCAACCACTGCGCCACCAGGGAAGCCCATGATTTATTTTTTATCAAGAAAGTGTATTTGTGTGTCTGTGTGTGTATTTTGATTATAATCAGTAGGCTACTTGTAAAGTCATAATTCCTATCAAAAAGATTTGAAAGAAAAACCATAATTTCTATCTTATATTTTATGAGTTTGGAAACCAGATAGCTATCCTTGTTAAAAGTTTATGAAAGGAAGAAGTCACACTCTGGAATAAACTCAGTAAGAAATATGCAAGATCTTTAAGAAGAAGACTTTAAAATGCCAGTGAGGGTATTCAGTTGTCCAGACTCATTGAGCTGAACTTCTCTTAAGATATATGCATTTTCTTTATGTGAAATTTTACCTCAATTTAACAAAAAAGTAAAGCATGTAAAGAGGGGTACAAGATGAGACTTAAGTGGAAATATTAGGATATTTGGATGGGAAGATGCAACAGCAAGAAGATGTCAGTTCTCTCATAGTTAATTTACAAACTTAATGCCACCCAAATAAAATTCTACAGTTGTATGTATATATGTATTTTTGTATATATATATGTGTGTGTAGATGTGTGTGTGTGTGTGTGTGTGTATATATATATATATATATATGAGCTAAAGAAACTGATTATAAAACTAACATGCAAAAAATAAATAATGAAGAATAGTCAGGAAAAAGAGAAATGAAAGTGACTAACCCTGGCACATATTAAGACATTTTATAAAACTATACTAGTTAAAACAGTGTGGTACTGTCACATGAACTGTTAGTTCAATGGCACAGAATTAGAAGCCCAAAAATGGACCTAATTATATATAGGAATTTAATATATATTAAATATTGCATTTCAAATTTATGGAGAAAATATGGAGGATTCAGTAAATGTTATTGGAAGAACTAGGTAGACATCTAGAAAACAGTTAAATTGAATCCATATCCTTTTCTTTATGCCAAAATACTCATTGGGTTAATGACATAAATCTAAGATGAAACCCACAGGTGAGGGTAGAAATGAAATAGATTAACATGAGTGAATAATTTGTTCAGGCCACGGGATGGGTACAGGAGGGTTCATTGTACTATTCTGTATACATTGTATGTTTGAAATTCTCTATGATTAAAAGTTTAAAAGATGAAATCAATTAAAATATTTGAAGTAAACATGGAATTTTAAAAGTAATCTTAGACTGAAGGTCCAAATATGATAGGAAAATAAAAGATTGATACATTTTACTTTATTCATTAATTTATTCAACAGACATTCAGCGCCTTCTTTTTAAAAAAAGACACTATAAGAAAAATGAAGGAACAACTGAAAAACGGAGAGAAAGTTTTCTAACTTATATTACAGAAAAGGCCTAATTTTACAATTCCATTTAAAAAATTATCCTACAAGTTTCTTAAAAAATAGAAAATATTCAAATCTTTACTTAAGATAAATACAAATTAAGACTATACTTAATTTATATCTGCTGGATTGGCAGAGATCAAAAGATTTTGATAATACACTGTGTTGGTGAGGGTGTGGGAAACAGGGACTCTCAGTGATGGGTAGCATTGGTATAAATGGGTACTGCTTCTTTGGAGAGTAATTTGGCGGTATCTGTCAGAATAAAAATTGCCCTTACTCTCTGACTCAACAGTTCTACTTCTAGGAATTTATCTTACAGATAAAACTTATGCAAAATAATATATGTACAAGGATATTTGTTGCAGGATTGTGTATGGTAGGAAGAGATAGGAAACAACCTGAATGTCCATAAATAGGGACAGAGAGGGAGAGTTAATACTTTCACTGGAATATGCTGCAACCTTGATAAATTATGAGGCAGCTCTTACACTGATTTTGAATGACTTTAAGATATTTTAAGAGAAACAAGTAAGGTGTTAGAACACAGCATATAATATGCCATTATTTGTGTGAAAAAGTTTACATGCACATCTCCACCTGCAGGTACACATACAGGGACAGTCTCTGGAAGAATACATAAGAATTAGTACAAATCCTCTGGAGAAGAACTAGTTGGATGGGGTTGGGAGGAGACTACTTCTCACTCTGTCCCTATGTACTTGGAGAATTTTGTATTGTGAGTACGTATTACCTATTCTAAAATGATTTTTTTAGACTCCGCGCTCCCGATGCAGGAGGCCTGGGTTCAATCCCTGGTCAGGGAACTAGATCCCACATGCTGCAAAACTAAAGACCCCCCAGCCTGCAACGAAGATCCTGCGTGCAGCATGGAGCATCCTGTGTGCTGCAACTAAGACCTGGTGCATATTTATTAAATAAATATTATTTATTTATTTGTTTAATAAATAAATAAATATTAAATCAATAATTAATGATTTCTTTAGTGAAGTTCTTTTTCCCCCTTTTAATCTGTGTGTTTTGGAGTTTAAGCCCCTGTGCTCTCTAGTGAGTGAAGCTTTGGAGCATGGCTTCTGGGTCAGCTCTTTTGGCTGCTGAGAGGCCTTATTGTTGAGCCTCCCTCTCAGCCATATTCTAGAAAGAGAATCCGTCACTAAACAGCTGCGTTCTGGTTGACAGGTGGTACTGTGTGCCCAGCTAGTGCTCACTACTAGGTGCTGTTTAGGGGCAGATAGCAATCCTCCTGTATTTATGATGTTTAACTGAATTTGTGAATTGCATTGGAGAGCAATCTCATCTACCCCCCACCCCAAATCACACGAGAAATGTTAGTTAACATGACATGGGACCAAGTGTTTGTTAGCAAGGTGTTTAGATATGTGGACTTTCAGCAGAGGCAAATTTGCTTCTCTCAGAAGTCAGACTGTTTTTGTTTTTGCAAAAGCAGAAATATAGACCAATGGAACAGGATAGAAAGCCCAGAGATAAACCCACGCGCCTATGGTCAACTAATCTATGACAAAGGAGGCAAGGATATACAATGGAGAAAAGACAGCCACCTCTTCAATAAGTGGTGCTGGGGAAACTGGACAATTATATGTAAAAGAATGAAATTAGAACACTCCCTAACACCATACACAAAAATAAACTCAAAATGGATTAGAGACCTAAATGTAAGACTGGACACTATAAAACTCTTAGAGGAAAACATGGGAAGAACACTCTTTGACAGAAATCACAGCAAGATCTTTTTTCGTCCACCTCCTAGAGTAATGGAAATAAAAACAGAAATAAACAAATGGGACCAAATGAAACTTCAAAGCTTTTGCAATGCAAACTACAAACAAGACAAAAAGACAACCCTCAGAATGGAAGAAAATATTTGCAAACGAATCAACAAAGGATTAATCTCCAAAATATATAAACAGCTCATGCAGCTCAATATTTAAAAAACAAACAACCCAATCAAATAATGGGCAGAAGACCTAAGTAGACATTTCTCTGAAGAAGACATACAGATGGGCAAGAGGCACATGAAAAGCTGCTCAGCATCACTAATTATTAGAGAAATGCAAGTCAAAACTACAATGAGGTATCACCTCACACCAGTCAGGATGGCCATCATCAAAAACTCTACAAACAACAAATGCTGGAGAGGGTGTGGAGAAAAGGGAACCCTCTTGCACTGTTGGTGGGAATGTAAATTGACACAGCCGCTATGGAGAACAGTATGGACGTTCCTTAAAAAACGAAAAATAGAACCACCATATGACCCAGCAATCCCACTACTGAGCATATACCCTGAGAAAACCATAATTCAAAAGGATACATGTACCCCAGTATTCATTGCAGCACTATTTACAATAGCCAGGTCATGGAAACAACCTAAATGCCCATCAACAGACGAATGGATAAAGAAGATGTGGTACATATATACAATGGAATATTACTCAGCCATAAAAAGGAATGAAATTGAGTCATTTGTAGAGACGTGGATGAATCTAGAGACTGTCATACAGAGTGAAGTAAGTCAGAAAGAGAAAAACAAATATTGCATATTAACGAATATGTGTGGAACCTAGAAAAATGGTACAGATGAACCAGTTTGCAGGTCAGAAGTTGAGACACAGATGTAGAGAACAAATGTATGGACACCAAGCAGGGAAAGCTGTGGGGGACGGTGGTGGTGTGATGAATTGGGAGATTGGGATTGACATGTATACACTGATGTGTATAAAATGGATGACTAATAAGAACCTGCTGTATAAAAAAACTAAATAAAATTAAAAAAAAAAAAAAAAGTCAGACTGGCCAAAGCTGGAACCTCAGCCCCCTGGCTGACTAGCCGCATACGCTGGGCCTATATCTTAACCTCTCTGATTCCTCCTGGATTATTGTGAGGATGTGATGATGATGATGATAACAGAACAGTGACAGCTAACAGTACTCCCTGTGTGGCTGACACTGCCCTGAGGGTTTTATATGCTTCATCTCTTTTCATCCTCTCCACAGGGTAGTAAGAAGATGCATCCCTCCCCCTCCTTTTTTTGTTTTTTTAACAGATGAGCACATAAGAGCACCTCTAAGAGAGGTTTGTTTGTTGAGACCTCTGAGAGGTGGTTGTTGAGACCACGCAGCTGGATATTGGTGGAACCTGAATTTTAACCCATCTCCAGCTCCAAAGCTCTGTGTTCTAGCACTGTCTCCCCAGTGCTTTATGGAGTGTGTGCATTTAGCAGGTACTCACTGTGTATCTGTTCACTTCTCTCCCTACAATGATGGGAGCAGAATGTAAATTATTGCTGTGACCCAAAGTAACAATTCGGTTGTCTTTGAGGAATCTTACCAAGTATGAAACACATGTAAGTACTGGTAAAATGCAGATTTTCTTTCTGTCTAGACAAATGAACTTGTGTTGAGTTTGGAAGATGATGACAGACTCCTGTTAAAAGAAGACAGCACCCTGAAAGCAGCTGGAATCGGTGAGAAGGAGTGTGTGTGCCATGTAGAGTTGGAGGGGGCCCTGGCTTTCCTGGCCTGTATGGTGATACCTGGCTGATTATATTTGGATAACTTAATGCAATGTAAATGGTACCCTTGGTGCTCTTTACACTACCGTATAGTTATTCAGAGGAAAAGGACAAGAATGATGTAGATTCAGATCATTTGACTCAGGGAAGTAGATATCTGCTCTCCAAACATTCAGAATGCAAATAGTTCTTTCCAGAAGGTATGCTCAGAATTCTGCAGAGGGCTATTTTAAGTGATTGACAGGTTACTACTCACTTAATAACCTACTTACTCATATCAGCGTCATTTGAGCAGATAGTTTAAGAGAATAGGGCCTGGTAGAACTCATGTGGAATAATGAAGTGAGATGTTGTTTGTGTACCATGCAGCATAGTTTCTGTTAGTCATCCAGATCACTCTGGGCCGACCAAGTCATGGAATTTCAAATAGGAGCCTAGTGTGTACAGTTGAAAAATTGCCTGATTTAGCCTTTCAACTTGGAATATGCATGTAGTTTTAGTTTAAAGAAGTGCTGTGTGACATGTTTTATGACCATTAGATGTCACTATAATTCTACTTATGTGTACACTTACAAATGATGTGGCAGTTGGATGAAGTTTGTGAGAGAGATGTGAGCAGTTGAAGGCATTATGCCTCTGACATGCCTTTGTGGTCAGCGACTCTAATGAAACAGCACAAATCATACTTACTTTCTAATTTTTTTATATGTACTGGTTAAGGAGCACTCTAAAGTTCATGAAGTCCATGTTAGGAAGCCTTACATTTTTTTGACAGGTGTTTTATTGAGTTATTTTAGTCACATCTGTCAGGAATTCATTTTTAAATGACACATGTGGCTAAATTGGGTTCCTGACATATCTTCCAATTTAAATATGATTTTAAATACCATGTTGTATAACGTCAGACTTGTTTACTGTGTTTAAGTCTACACTATTGGCTAGATTCAGTGTCTTTCCTTATTGTGAATACATAAGATTGATTGCTGTTATTTGGAAAAACAATTTTCTATTTGGCATTTATTTCTTCAATTGCTATTATATTATTATAGCAGGTGGCACTTAACAACTGCTTGTGGTTAAGCATAAAACTATAATTAGTATAATAGACTGGTATTGATATAGGAATTGACAGATAGCTCCATGGAAAAGCCTGGAAAATCCAAAAACCAACTAAAAGAAATTTCACAGTATAACAAAATTTTGACATCTCAGATAAGTGGGGGAAAGAATGAATTAGCCAGAAAACGTTGGGCCCATTGCTAAAACATTTGGGAAAATCAAATTTAAATTCTTAGTCTTCATTCCAAAATAAATTCTCTATAGGTTAAATGTGATAATGTAAAAAAATTTTCTTAAATGTGGGTCAGTAGTTTCATAATCTTGGGGAGAAGGGCATGCCCTTAGAAAGGGCATGCCTTTGAAGCCAGAAGCCATAAAGCCGGGAGAAATGATAGATTTGACCACATAGAGTTAAACGAGAAGCAATAAACTGTGAAAAAATATTTGCAGCATATATGACAAAGAAAAAGTTATTAGCCTGACTTTATAAAGAGGTCTTATAATTAGTATAAAAAGGAGAAATAAATTCTACTGATAGAAGAAATAGCTAACATAAAAAATAGTACAGCCTTATTAGAAATGAGAGAAATGCACATGAAAATAGATACTATTTTATGTAGTTTTCTACTCTAGTGGTTAAGAATTAGAGGCTGGAGTCAGAGTGCTTGGGTTCACAGCTTGACTCTGCCACTTACTGTCTGGGTGACCTTCAACAAGCAGTGATTATAAGACTAGCAGATGTGAAGAACAGTGGTAGTATCTGAGGGAGTGTTAGGAAATGAATGTTCTCTCGTACTATTGTTCGGAAGCTGTATTACCTCTAACTTTCTGTAGGTCAGTTTGACCAATAAGACTTTCTCAAACTTAATTTTCTGTCATATCTATTACCAAGCCAACAGAAGTGCTTCCTCAACTCTGTGACTCCCCCCAGGTTGTGATATGCCTTCTGAGGTGTTATCTCTCACCTTCTCTGTTTGGGATTCATTGATGTAGAGCTTTGTTTATTGAATGGAAATAGACTATATTGTGTGATACCATTATTATTTTAAAATGTATGTGTTTACATGTATGTATATGGAGAAAAGATCATATGCTAAAATTATAGAAATGGTTTCTCTGGGTGGTGGCATTGCCAGTAATTCAATCTTTTTCCCTTTATTCTCCACATTATCTAATTGTTCTTGCATTGATAATTTAAACTTTTTTCTACTATTTACATGTATTACTTGTAAAGTGAGGACCCAATTTTAAGGAATAAACTCCTAAATTTGGAGAAAGTTGGTTTGAATGCAGGCTCCACATTTTGCTTGCTTTGTGACCTGGAAGCCATTTAGCCTCTCTGAACTTCTCCTTTGATTTCTGTAAAACAAAACGGAAATAATTAAACCTATTTCAGAGGGTTGTCATGGGTTGAGTAAAAGAATGTATATGAAAGCATCTAGAGCAATGCATGTAAAGGCCCTCAAAAATACTTAGTTTATTTGGAAGCCATCTTGGAGAAAGCAATTGGCAAATGTTTTGAATTTGTTAAAACATCAAGTTGTTGGTTTAATTGTTACTAATTTCAGACTTAAGTAACGAACCACCTATAAAGGTGTAAATCAAATCCCTCTTTTTGTCATTCTTGTTTTAAGGCCATAGATCTTAGATCAGCATCAGATCCTTTTTGTGGGTTCTCCACTGGTTTCAGGGTGGTACTTCAAACTGCTCTCCTGCCATGGCAAGCCTGCAGCCCTGCCTGAGGGTGACTTTGGTCCCTGTGGGGAGTGATCCCCTCTCCTGCATGTTCCCCTTTGTTGCCTAGAGCAGTGCAAAAAATTCTAAGTGCAAGTAGATGGTAAAAGTGATACTTGAAGTGTGTGATTTTTCTAGGGAATTTTCCCTCCCCCGGTGTCATGCCTGGTTAGGGTTTTAAGAGGTTTAAGAGAAAAATTCGAAGTCGTCACTCTCTCCCTTTTTACCACTTGATCTTTCTGTAGAGCTGTCACTCTGCTATCATAGCCAATTGCCATGGGAATAATGCCAATGTAACAAATGTATCATTAGGATTTTTCTGTAAAAACCATGAAAGGAAAAGAAAGACTGTGAGGGGGGAAATTAGGGGAACAAACTGGTTTGAAGATTTCTTTTCTCACCGAGAAATTCTCTGGCCTTTTATCTACATTGTAGATCCCAATTGTATATTCTGCCTACGCTTGACGTCAGGGGAGGTTTTTGCTTGTGGATTTAGTTCTAAAATACATAAATAAAAAGATTTGCTTTGTGGAAGGAAGAAGAAGGGCTTACCTAGAATTGTTATTTATAATTTAAAGATTTTCATCTTATTATTAACAATTGTGGTTTTATGGACTAATTCCCCTAAGTAATAAATTTGCGTGTTAAATATTTTTGGGGTTATATTTTATCTCTTTCATTTCGCTACATTCTACTGCTGCTATCTTTTGGGTCTTCTCTGGTTTAGGAAGGAAACTTGGGTAGGGTAACTCTTCTAAAGTCAGTTATGTTTCATTGGAAATATTTTAAAACAAGATACAGGCGGCCAAACCATAAGTGCTCATCTGTGGGAAGAGTTCGCATCAAGCCAGATCTTGTAATAATTCCCAAGCTCCCTTGTGGTTTGTTTTCGTCTTATGTGTCACTCCTGTTGTCTGCCCACAACCAGAACCCAGTCTTTGTGCCTAGCACCTCTGGGTGATCTTGGATAAGCAGCTCATATTATAGGATTCCTTGGCTTCCACTTCTTTATCAGGATCATATTTGATTTGTGTTTCCTGAAGGTTTGGGTCCCTTTCCCATTCTCTTTTCGGTAGTAATATCTTGGGGCATACGTGCTTTTCTCCTTTGACAGCGCGTTAAACTGGCTGTTCACGTTAACATCATAACAGTGGTGGTCTTGTACTCGATTAAGTAGGTGGTGGGACCAGGGAATTTGAGATCCCAGAGCAAGAGGGTCAGAAGGAACCTCCCAGACATGTTTCTTCCCTTTTTGCCCTCCCCTCGTTGTTGTGGAAATCACAGTGTCCAGTCTATCAAAGGTCAGATTCATTTTACTATTTGTTTTCTTCAAACTAGTTTGAAATATTCTCTGCCAGCTTGAAAACAGATGCTCAAGCAGCTACGAAATAAAAGACACAGTAGTTTGGAACTATCTGTTGGATTGTTGACCTCCTTTGGTGAAAAGCTAAAAATATAACTCAGCAGAGAGCATGGTTTTGAATGATTTGTAGATTAGGATTTTGTGAAACTTGCAAGGATGGGGGTATAGTCCTGGACCAGGGGAGAGGGTAAAACTTTGTCCTTTTGGTCTCAAATTGCTGCAGAAATCACACCTGGCCCTTCGTGGTTTTTTTGTTTCTGTTTTTGTTTTTGCCAATAATCTGCAGTTATTTTCACATTACAGCCCGCCGGATGATAGTCTGCCCCGATCATTAATTATCTGTACTGCAGTCAGGATGCACGTCTCAGTCTCTTTCCTCAGACGACAGTTGCTGTGCTGCGCACAGCTTTGGTACTGACTAGTACAAGCCTAGGGATTTAGAAACTATACACTAAATCCTTGTTGGTAGGCGAGTTTATTGAAATAAGTTAGTTGAGGAGTTTAAGTACATTGCACTTAATTTTTCTTGAGATTTTACATTTCAAATTGTTTTTCTTATATTTAAAAAATTTGAAGTCATTATTTTACTGTTCAAGGTGTATATATGTGTATTTTATAATGGAAACTTTATAAAATTCTTAATTTCATATCCAACATGTGATATCCTAGCTTGCATTCATTTTATTAAACTTGAAAGTCAGTATTAAAATGAACCACAAATGTATTTGGAGAGTTCTTACTTGATTTCATTTGATAGTAAGACAAAGGGATGAGCTGGAGTGTATTTATTGGATTTGAGAATGCACATTCATTTCAGATTCACACGCCAAAGCACTGTGCACCTGAGTGCACTGCTGCCTGCAGCACATTTAATTTAAAATCAGGTGCCCTAGGGGACTGGCATGTGGTAGACTTCCCGAGGGTTCTTCTGGAGCCATTTTAAATAGAATTTGGGAAGCAGGAATTTAAGGGATAATGGTGGAAAGGGTGGTATGTAGAGGTCTTGAAAATCGTTCGTTATTTGTTTTCATTTTAATTGGCAAGTAAATTTGCAGTCTACGTGAAATCATTCAGACGTTTTCGACAGAGTTCTATAGATTTAAAAAAAACATTATATTCTATTTCTGTTTGAGGACCACATTACTAAAGTTTAAAATCCATTTTATGTCTTTCTTTTGAATGTTCAGAGCAACTAACTCTTAATGTGTGTGTTATTCTCCAATTTGTTAAGGGTGAAAAATTTTATCAGCCTGGACTGTTTGACTTTTTAACCCATTTGTCAATCTAGTTTTCCTGAAAAAATTCATTCATCTGAAAATAAAATCTTTACCTAGATGATCTCATTTTGAGTCTGTATTATATGTATTATGTAGATAATGGATTGATCTGTAAGTTAATTAGAACGAAGAGAACCTGTGTGTCAAAACAAAAATGCTTTGTCAGTTCTTTCTTTTTATCCGCTTAATTCTAAACCTGTTATTGGTGTCCTGAAGAGCCATAACGATATATTAGTTTCTCAGAAGGGGTACAGAGATAAATGTCAACTGCAGTAAGTAAAATTGTAATTACAGTTAGTGTGTATTGAGCAAAGTGCTGTGTGGGCAAAGCACGATGTAAAGTTCTGTATGTAAATAGCACATCATGGATGAAACCTTGCATTGTGATTATTAAGAACAGGGGGCTTTTGCTCATTCTCCATTAGGAGGAGGATATTAGAATCACTTGCAAATTATGTAGTGTACCTTTGGGCTTGCTTCTCTTCAAAAAAGGAAACCCCAGGAGCTTTTTATATGAAGGATAGATCTCAAAATATCTTCTCTTTGAATGTTGAATTTTTTGAAACCCCTTGATTCCAAGTGTAGAGCTCTTAGCTGTTCTTTCAAATGCTATTTTCTTGTAAAATTTCACTGTACATTAACTTACTGTTTGCCCAGGGCGCATTTGTTTACAGCCCTTCTCATTGATTACCAGCTTCTTTCTTCTGTGTCTCCCCATCCCCTACACCCTCCACACACATCCAGGCTTATTGTGACAAGAGCTTGTAATCTGATTTTTATTAAGATTAATCTTCATCTAATCTTGAAGATACAGTAGGACTGGAATGAGGATCTGAGACTATGGGTGATTTTATTTTCCTCTTTCAGTATTTCTATATTTTCTGTAAAGAGCACGGTAATTTAGGTTTGAGAAACATTAAATTTGGTATTCTTAAAAGCAGCAAAAAGCATTTTTAATGAAATGTCATGCTAAGTTCTTTAATTTCGTTCTTCTGTGATAAATTCTAATGAGATGAGAGCTGTAAACTAGGAGACCAGTGGTAATCCTTGGCATCCTTCCTTATTATCCTATTTATTTGGCTTGAAGAGTTTCACTTGTCAGTTTTAGGAGGATATGTTAATTGTGTGATCAGTATTCCTTACAAATAATCTTGTCTGTTTTCTTGTCAAGATTCTGAAGGCCCTTTTGCTCTTTCTGTAAAAGCTAAGCAGACTGTATTAACTTCTGGTTTAATTTAAAAAACAAATGTGGAACTTGTTGGCGTGACGCCTTAAAGAATCGCATGTTTAATAATTGGAAGGCTTTCCATCAGGTTTGTCTCCAGTCTGAATTAATAATGTTGCTGACTTATTGTTTCAGAAGACAGAGTCCTTGACCTGTTAAGTTGAAAGAATTGTGACTGCTCTGAACCTTTGTGGGTCCTTTAGCTGTGCCATATCCCCTGTGAATAATTAGAGGTATTTGAAGGTATTGCGGTAGAAGCCAATTTGTGTCTTTCACTTTGCATATTGTTGAAGCCTCATGAATTAGTCATAAGCAGGCAAAAAATTAACTTCTTCAGACACATATTTTGATGGGTCATGAGGGAGAATGTAAAGTGATCTGTAAAATATTCTACTGATCCTCTAAGTATTAAATTATTATACCTACAGGCCAATTTCAGAGAGGGGAAAAAAGAAGTGTTTTCCTCCTTCTTCAGTAACTGAGTAGCAAATTTGAAAAAAATAAAGGCTTATTATTTCTAGGACTGTTAAGAGGACTATAAATGAGCAATTTTATGATTTCCTGAAAACCAGATTCATGTGTTAATTCTTGTTTCTAATGTTTTTGGTTATTTTTCTTTTAAATCAGTTGAATTCTAGAGTCTTATAACTACAACTTATACTTCTTGTTGATTTTGTGAAATGTGAAATCAAACAAGTAACTCATCTTTCTAACTTTAGGCAACTAAAGCACTGAATCAAAGAAATGGATTTCCATACTTGTTTAAAATCTAGTTTTACATTCAACTTTTTTTCCATTTTCTATTTTTCTTTTTTTTTCAGCCAATGAAACTGAAATTGCATTCTTCTGTGAAGACGACTATAAGAACTACAAAGCTAATCCCCTTTCATCCTGGTGAAAACTTCACAGGGCTTCCTTTTTGCATACTTGTATTAAGCTCTTTATTCCACTAGTGAGTTTTTTAAATTGACAAATAAACTTAAAAAAATTAATCCCAAGCTCTGCCATTTGAGGTAAAATCTGTGGTGTGTTCTCTCTTCTGCAGGTCTCATTTTTTTCTTTCTTGTTTTAAAATAATATATTTATTTATGGGGAAAATGTGATTTTTTTAAGTGAAAGAAATAGTGATTCAAAAATCACCATGGAGTGTTGGTTCTTTAGTTATAATTTGTTTTTCTGAAATTAGAGGTCATTTTGGTGACTTGCATGTTGGATTCTTTAATAAGACTTAAAGGTCATTCTGTTTATTTTGTGTTTTCTCCATAGTTTCTAATTAGACCCCTGTTACTATCTTTGGCTAGCAGGGATTGTAAGAGTCTCTTATGACCATGAATGCCATCTTTTCACTTACCATGTTACACACCACCACACATGAAATTGAATTGGGTATATTTTAGGGAGGTTTTCTGATGTTAGAGGGCTTTTCTTTCTTTTCGTATTAAGCCCACACAAATAACATTGCTGAAATGTTTTTTTCTGAGCTGTGTTTCCTGACTTCAGGAGCAAACTATAATAGAATCAAACTCATTTATTTGGAGAGAGAAGATAGCAGGATGATTGCACTTCTGGAAGAAAATTTTTCATTGAGAACAAGTCTAAGTCATGGGTGATACATTCTTTCAAAATAACATAATACTTTAATGACGGACTACCAGCACCCGAAGAGTAGTGAATTCAAGGGGGCCTTTCAGCCAGCATGCATCTAATTGGAACTCTGAGAGAGGTTAGTTGGCTCTAGAATTTTTCCATGAAGCCTTAAAACTGCTAGAAGGGCAAATTGGTTTCATTGTGGTATAGGCTAATTTAAGAAAACCTATTCTGCTTAAAAAATCAAACTTGAAAGTCTGGATAACATAACCAGAAGATGCGTTGCTTTGTTTAAAGACAAAGTACTTGGAATAGAGGAAGATAAGGGCAGAAGGTCTGTTGAGCTAGGCCTTATAAGCTATGCTGAGGAGTTGGAAATTTTATCTAGTAGGTAGTTGGGAGCCAGTGAAAAGATTTAAACAGATAAATTACATGATTAGATTTGTATTTTAGAACGTAAGCTTTGACAGCAATGTCCAAATGGCAGAAAGACTAGAGGACAGTTGTTGTAGACCAGAGGAAGTTTGGAAGGACTCCCCTAGGACTTGACAGAAGGGGGGAATGGAGAAGAGGAGACCTTGTTGACATAGTGCTAACATTTGGTCATGCATTAGATGGCAGGCATTGTGTTAGGTACCTACATGTGTTATTTAATTTTTACCACAACTCTCTAGTCTTGATAGTATCTTATCTATCTATGGCTGAGGAAATTGGGGCCCAGAGAGGTATGGTAACTTACCCAAGGCAATGCAGTAATTTGCACTGGGAGTGGATCCAGGTCTTTCTTAAATTCCCAACCTTGCCCATTTCATCCTGTGGCCTCCCAGGAGAGGTATGAGGTAGGATCTTTGGGACTAGGTGAATGGCTGGTGTGGAAGGTGTAGGAGGAGGAGTGGAGACTTCAATGATTCTTCCTGGAGCGAGTGACTGGATCGATGGTGACAGCATCAACCCAAATAGGGAATTTAGTAAGTAGAAGAACAGGTTAAAGCATACTCCATTTGATTATTTTGCAAACATTCAATTTACACACACTTTGTTTCTTTTTTAAGAAAAATTAAGCATACCTTTACCTGTATGTTTTCTTTTTAACAAATAATGCAAAAATATGTACATATGTCTAATCCTTTGTTTTGGCGTGTATTTATTTTCCTTATTAGAAAGTTACATATAGGCTTTTTTCACTTGTAAACACAGATGTAAAAATCAGAAACTAAAATACATTACGACTAAAAAGGGCTTTTAACCAAGAGTGAAAGATTGGTTCAAAACATAGAAAACTTATCAATGTACATAATTCTTAAAATATATAAAGAAGGGCTTCCCTGGTGGCGCAGTGGTTGAGAGTCTGCCTGCCGATGCAGGGGACACAGGTTTGTGCCCCGGTCCAGGAAGATCCCACATTCCGTGGAGCGGCTGGGCCTGTGAGCCATGGCCACTGAACCTGTGTGTCCAGAGCCTGTGCTCCACAACAGGAGAGGCCACAACAGTGAGAGGCCTGCATACTGCAAAGAAATAAAATAAAATAAAAAATAAAAAATAAATATATATATAAAGAAGAAAGAAATTGTGCTATCTCAGTGTTGCCCCAAAAAAGCATCTGATGGTGGGCAACCCCATACGTGAATAGAAATAGAATAGAACAGAATCCCCTTAACCTGATGAAGGTTACTCAAAGAAAACCTACTAATGGAGAAGTGCTTAAGCAAACCTATTAAATGAATAGGACAGGGAGGACACTATTACCAGTACTATTCATAATTGTTCTGCCTCTTATGGTAGCCAGTGCAATAAGAAAAGAAAAGTAGTGAGAACCACAGACATTGGAAAGGAGACTACACCTTCATTTGCAGACAATATGATTGCAAGGGAATCAACTGACAAGTTATAAGAACTAATAAGAGACTTTATGAGTGCCTGATAATGAACTTAAATTGTGCACAAAAGCTATAAAATGTTAACTAGAGTATATAAAAGATGTAAATAGAGAGATACTACATGTTTATAGATGGAAGCTTTGATGTAGTAAAGATGTCGATTTATACCTAATCTGTACTTCAGTGCAACCTCAATCAAAATCCCAGGATTTATATTGGGATTTGACAAACTGATTTTAAGGTTCATTTGGAAAAGCAAATGTATAAGAATAGCCAAGATCAATTTGGAAAAACAAAAAGGAGGGGGGATTGCCAGCAGATGTCAAAATATATTTTAAAGCTATAGTAATTAAAACATCTTGGTTGTGATACAGAAGTAGACCAAAAAATCAATGAATAGAAACTGACTGCTGTATATGGGAACTTAGTATATAATAAAGGTAGTATTTGTAATCAGTGAAGAAAGATGGATATTTATCCCTTGCCTAGGCATTAAAAAAATGATTAAGGACCCTACCTCCTACCATTCACTAAAATTTCAGGTGGATTAAATAAGCATGAAAAACAAGATGATGAATTTATTAGGAAAAAAATGGATTATTTTTATGATCTTGGGGGTAGAGATGGCCTTCTTAAAACACAAAATGTGCAAGTGCCATAATTTTCTGAGTTTGATGTATCTATATGAGAAACTAGATTCCCCCTCCCCCCAGAAAAATTATAAACGGGTTGAAAGGCCAGTAAAGACTGGGAAAAACTACTTGCACTTACAAGGTAGACAGAGGATTAGTTTCCAGAATATATGAAGAACTCTTACAAGTCAATGAGAAAAGGACGAACCTGCAACAGAAAAATGGACACATTTTGTAAAGAAGAAATTTGTAAAAAAAAAAAAAAAAAAAAGGAAACATATACGGCCTATAAAAATGTGAAAAGATGCACATCCTGTTATTCAAGGAAATTAAAACAACAACAGAGTATCATTTCCATTCATCAAGATGGCAAAAAGTAAAGGGTTTGATAACAAGTATTGGCAGTGATGTGTGCCTACGCTGCCAGTGGGAGTATAAAGTCATGTGCAGTCACTTGGTCAAGCAATTTGATGTGCTATCTATTGAAATAACAAATGTACATCTTCTCTTGGCCCCGCAGTTCCACTTCTTAAAATTTGTTCCAAAGAAACCCCCTCTCATGCCTGCAGGAGGAGGTATTTATAAGGGAATTCACTGCAGTGTTATTTATAGTAGAAAAACACTGTAAACAACCTAAATGCTGTGAGTATCTAAATGACGTTTGGTATATCTATACTCTGGGTTACTACTGAATCTGAAACAATGGGGGACATTCATATTACTTACTGACATGGGACAATCTTTGAGACATCTTGATGGATAAAATTGCAGAGAGACTCATAAACTGATGTCGTTTGTTTAAAAAAGGCACAAAATGATAATATATATATAATGTGTACATATAATACGTGTGTGTATATGAATATACACATTGTATACACATATATACATATACACAAAAGATTATACACCAAATGGATAACATCGATTACCTTTGGGGAGGGGCCTAGAATTGGGAGGTAAAGGTGGTAAAAGCCTGTATCTGTATATTTAAGGAGAATGTATTTGTGTTAAGAATTAGTAAAAACTAATGCATGTGTAGAAATTAAAAGAAGCAGGAAAAAAATCGATCAAGCAATTGCCATTAATATTTTGGCATATTCCATCTAGGTTATTTTTGCTATGTATTTTTTTAATGTTTCTGATCTTTTGAGTGTGTTTTAAGTTATACAAGTAATATATGCTTGTTAAAAACAACTCAGGTAAAAAGTAAAAATCCCCTTCAAAGGTAACTTTTTTGCATAACTTGGTGTTTATACTTTAGGAGCTTTTTTTCCTGCACACGTATCATTATTTAAATGTGCATTTTAAAGCATTATCATTTGATTATTTTAAAATATCATTCTCTTATATATAGAAGTCTCATTTTCTTTTTGAATCATCATTGTATACCAGATACTGCATGTGTTTTATCCATTATTCAAGTCCTCAAGTTGGGTAGAGCTGTGAGTAGCCCCATCTGTGAAGTGGAGATGATGATGCCCACCTCACAGAGTCTTGGGGATCAAGTGAGACACTGCCTACATGGGACTTAGTAGGCAGGGCCTGGCATGAGGTAAGTGCTCATCAGATGTCTTATGATACTTATTATGAACAGTGCAGCAGCATCAACTTCAATTTGGAGCCCAAAACCTTGATGCTCTCAGATGTTAAGCCACTTTCCCAAGGCCTAAAATCTGGAAGGTCAAAGAACGTTCTGCCACTCACTGAAAACAAGGGGTGTCGGGCACTTGGAGAAACATGGTATGAAGGTTGTCAACCACGGGCCGAGAGACTGTGTCCAATTTTTGTTGATTGTCACCCCTTCTCCAAGCATTTTTGCCATTCTCAGTTGAATTTACTTTCTCTTCTTGTGCCAGAGGAACATACAGGCCCTAGCCCCACTTAATAATCACCTAGTTTTATGGGAATCTGAGGAGCTTTTTGCCACAGCAAAGGTGTTTCATTCCCTTCCCTTTCTGCCTGTTCCAGATGCATGCGGGAGAGGTGGTGATGCTCCTGCCTATGCGGGACACTCAGAGAGATGGCCTGGCCTGGGCCCCTTGGGAAAACTGCTGCTCACTGCTGAGGAGGGCGGGCGAGGGGAGAGTGAGGCTTTCCCACTTCCTGCATGTGGCGGCAGGGGCTGGAGGAGCCTGAGGTTGCTGAGCTACATCTCTAGAGCAGAGAGAAGTCCAAGTATGATGGTGTCCAAGGATCCAGACTCTGGTCCTCTTTTCTTCGCTGTGTGGGCATGCATGTGTGTTGGGGGAGGGGCTCTGATTATTGGCTACAGGTTGCTTCCCTTCATTTTACTCTTAAAAGGCTCTCATGGTTAATCAGATTAGCAGAGGTAACTGAAGTACGTGGCATAGTTTCTTACTTGGATTGAGGTGAACATTTTGAACTCCACTGTCGTGATGGGGGGGTCTTGGGTATCTGTGGCCCTGGAAAGTACCCATCTTTCATGTTGAACCCCCAGCATGAAGCTCATGGTCACTATCGACCTTTTCCCTCTGTACCTCCAGCATTTATGGGAAGTGAGGACATGGTAGAGGAGAGCACAGCTTTTGTCATTTCCCTCCATCAAAGGAGATGTATTTATTCAATGAATCGGACCTGAGACCAGTCCCCCATCCGCAAGTGTGCATTTTGGGTTATAATACTAACACTGATTTTGGATAATGGCCTTTGGAGACTCATTTTTTGGTTGTTAGTGAGAGGATCATATAATGTATAATGATTTAAAAGAAACATACGGGGCTTCCCTGGTGGTCCAGTGGTTGAGACTCTGTGCTTCCACTGCCGGGGGCACAGTTTCGATCCCTGGTTGGCATAGTTCCTTTTAAAGGAATTTCTCTCGGCGGGAAGCACAAGAGAAGAAAAAGACCTACAAAAACAAACCCAAAACAGGGACTTCCCTGTGGAGGTCCAGTGGTTAAGACTTCACCTTCCAATGCAGGGGGTGGGTTCAATCCCTGGTTGGGGAGCTAATATCCCCCATGCCTTGTGGCCAAAAAACATAAAATGGAAGCAATACTGTAAAAAGTTCAATAAAGACTTTAAAAATGGTCCACATTAAAAAATCTTAAAAAAAACAAACCCAAAACAATTAAGAAAGTGGCAGTAGGAACATACATATCGATAGTTACCTTAAATGTAAATGGATTAAATGCTCCAACCAACAGACACAGACTGGCTGAATGGATACAAAAACAAGACCTGTGTATATGCTGCCTACAAGAGATCACTTCAGACCTAGGGACACATACAGTCTAAGAGTGAGGGGATGGAAAAAGATATTCCACACAAATGGAAATCAAAAGAAAGCTGGAGTAGCAATACTCATATCAGACAAAAAAAAAAATTAGACTTTAAAGACTGTTCCAAGAGACAAGCACACTACATGATGATCAATGGATCAATCCAAGAAGAAAACATAACAATTGTAAATAGATATGCACCCAACATAGGTGCATCTCAATATACAAGGTAAATATTAACAGCCATAAATGGGGAAATTGACAGTAACACAATAATAGTGGGGGACTTGAACACCCCACTTACACCAATGGATAGATCATCCAGACAGAAAATTAATAAGGGAACACAAGCCTTAAATAACACATTAGACCAGATAGACTTAATTGATACTTAATGGACATTCCATCCGAAAGCAGCAGAATACACTTTCTTCTCCAGTGCACGTGGAGCATTCTCCAAGATAGATCACAACTTGGGTCACAAATCAAGCCTAGGTAAATTTAAGAAAATTGAAATCATATCAAGCATCTTTTCCAACCACAACGCTACGAGATTAGAGATCAATTACAGGAAAAAAAACTGTAAAAAACACAAACACATGGAGGTTAAACAATATGTTACGAAATAATCAATGGATCACTGAAAAAATCAAAGAGGAAATTAAGAAATACCTAGAGAAAAGTGACAATGAAAACACAACAATCCAAAACCTATGGGACGCAGCAAAAGCAGTTCTAAGAGGGAAGTTTATAGCAATACAATCCTACCTCAAGAAACAAGAAGAATCTCAAACAACCTATCCTTAAACCTAAAGCAACTAGAGAGAGAAGAACAAACATAACCCAAAGTTAGTAGAAGGAAAGAAATTGTAAAAATCAGAGCAGAAATAAATGAAATAGAGACGAAGAAAATAGCAAAGATCAATGAAACTAAAAGCTGGTTCTTTGAGAAGATAAACAAAATTGATAAACCACTAGCCAGACTCATCAAGAAAAAAAGGGAGAGGATTCAAATCAATAAAATTAGAAATGAAAAAGGAGAAGTTACAATGGACACCACAGAAATGCAAAGAATCATAAGAGATTACTACAAGCTACTTTACACCAATAAAATGGACAACCTAGAAGAAATGGACAAATTCTTTGAAAGATGCAACCTCCCAAGACTGAGCCAGGAAGAAATAGAAAATATGAACAGCTCAGTCACAAGTACTGAAATTGAAACTGTGATTAAAAATCTTCCAACAGGGACCTCCCTGGTGGTGCAGGGAGGTTAAGAATCTGCCTGCCAATGCAGGGGACATGGGTTTGATCCCTGGCCCAGGAAGATCCCACATGACACCGAGCAACTAAGCCCGTGTGCCACAACTACTGAGCCCGTGTGCTGCAACTACTGAAGCCCACGCGCATAGAGCCTGTGCAATGAGAAGCCACTGCAATGAGAAAGCCCATGCACAGCAATGAAGAGTAGCCCCTACTCGCCGCAACTAGAGCAATCCCGCGTGCAGCAACGAAGACCCAACGCAGCCAAAAAAATTTTTTTAAATCTATAAAAAAATAAAAATCTTCCAACAAACAGAAGTCCAGGGCCAGATCGTTTCACAGGTGAATTCTATCAAACATTTAGAGAAGAGTTAATACCTACTCTTCTGAAACTCTTCCAAAGAATTACAGAGGAAGGAAGACTCCCAAACTCATTCTACAAGGCCCTGATACCAAAACCAGACAAAGATATCACGAAAAAAGAAAATTACAGGGCAATATCACTGATGAACATAGATGCAAAAATCCTCAACAAAATACTAGCAAACCAAATCCAACAATACATTAAAAGGATCATACACCATGATCAAGTGGGATTTATCCCAGGGATATAAGGATTCTTCAATATATGCAAATCAATCAATGTGATACACCACATTAACAAACTGAAGAATAAAAACTGTATGATCATCTCAATAGATGC